TTGCCTGAAACAAGCCCAAAGGCTGGGTGAAGGGCTGAATCTAGAGCTTGGCCACCAGAACCCTAACTGGGCAACTACAACTCCTTCAAGCTTCTGGAGTGAAGTGGACAAACGTCCCAGTTACTGCCCCTTTGGTTCCGCCAAGGGCTGTGTTCACTGACTTTCCATCACTGTGGCAAAACCTCCGAAACGAACCACTCAAGAGAGCAAAGGGTTGGTTTGGCTTACCATTTCAGTTATTGGTCACTTGGCCAGAAAGCAGCACAGGGGATAGGCCTGTGGCAAGGTAAAATCATGGCAGAAAGGTATGGTGGATGAAGACCACCCACCTCTTGGAGACAAGGAAAATAGGGGGACATATGAGAAAAGGGTGTGGGGACCCCTCGAAAGCATACCCTCAGTGACCTCCTAACAGCTCACTCAACTGTGAACATATCAAATTTAATCAGAAGGGTCCATCAGGGTCCAGGTTCAATACCCAACACCACATGGTGGCTAACAACGACCTGTAACTTCAGTTCCAAATGACATGACAACCTTCTGACCACTGTCACTGTGCACACATGGTGTATAACACACAAATGTGCAAAGCACCCACACACATAAACAAAACAGAACAAATAAAAATATTCAAATAAATTTAGAGAAAGCTGCAGTGATGTGGTGCGGCTGGGATGCTGCAGCTCCGGAGGCTGCCTGCCTCACCTCCGGCTGTTTCGTGCTCCAGGATGGACTATCCTTGACCCTCTCGGTGTGAGAGCGAACACGCTCTGACGAACAGACAGGAGACCTGGGATCTATTAGCTTAGCCGACCACTAGCTTCCACCAACCCAAGGGTCCAAAATGTCATCAGATGACATCCTGGTCCGCTGTGTGCCGCCTCTCCACTGCATTCACCAATGTATTTTAACCTTGCCTTCATTTATGGCTATCTTTAAAAATGTTCATGAAATTGTTTCCACACTGAAACATGGCATTTGTGGTCATCTAAATCTGTGTTTCCAGACCATGTTCACTTAACATGGCCCCCGAATAAACTATCTCTTATTCCCCTTAAGACGTGAGCCACAATTTATGTGTGTGTGTGTGTGTGTATGAATAATAGCAATGTTTGAAAAAATGGCATGATTATGAGTTATTACGATGCATATTCTGGGGCCTGTGAGGAGCCCCCTTCTTTTTGTGTGGACACAGCTTTATTTTTTTCCTGTAAAATCCAGACTGGTAACATAAAAATGTGAAGCTAGAGTTCGCTGCTGCTGAGGCCACAAGTTCATGCCCAGGGGAGTTCTTCCCCTCTCACAGGTATGACAGGAAGCCTACAGAGACACAGTCTGTGGTCCCTCCCTAACAGACTAAAGGTGCCAGTATTTATCACCTGTGGAAGTGAGTTTACATGAAAGCAGATATCAATGGCTGCACCTTGAAGAGGTGAACCTTGAAAACCTTATACCACTTCAAAGAAATTACATGTACATATATATATATATATAAAACACAAAAGTTATATAGCTCTATTTAAAATGTATACATACAGAGACTCCACACACACACACACACACACACACAACCACACACATTTGTTAAGTTACCAAAGACTAAGCTTCATGCAAGACTAATCTTAGGTAATGTCCAGAATACAAACATCCATACAGACAGGAAGTACGTTAGTACAGGCTGATTACTGGCTAAAACAGCTTGGATGGTACAAGACAGGGGTCGTGAATGGCCCTGAAGTTTATTTTGAGGAAAAGGCATTTAAAAATTGACTGTGTTGATGATGAACAAATCCATGTACACAATATACAAAACAGATGAATTTTACATATTAAATGAATGAGTTGATTTATTATATTATTTTTATATTTGATTATATTATTTATTATATTGATTTGTAGTTTGTACCCCATCAAACATAATGATAATAGTCACACAAAAAGGCATAGAGCCCTCATCTGTATTAAGACACGGATGGCACCACTCAAAATGAAAAACCCCAGACTTAGAGGACCACTGACACTCGGTATGAAAGGCAAAAGTGCTTGTGCATGTCCGCGCAGGTGCAGTGCTAAGTATGCGAGGCACCTTGGTTGAAATACCCTTGCAGGGGTAACTTGCAAATGTTTACCTCGGTAGACTTCTCGAAGGTGGGTAGCAGTCTGGGGAAGGCCTTGTGAGCAAAGACTGAGGGACCTTGAAATGGAATTTTCCTCTGCACACTGCGACCTAGACACTCTGTGTGTCTTGCCTGTGGGTCAAAGAATTTGGACTCACAACTGCCTTGTGAGACCAGACCTATATCCAAGCCTGATGCCCTGGCCTACAAACTTAGAATGAGCCAGACCTATCAGAGCCAATACTGCTTTCTTTCTTTCTTTCTTTCTTTCTTTCTTTCTTTCTTTCTTTCTTTCTTTCTTTCTTTCTTTCTTTCTTTCCTTCCTTCTTCCTCCCTCCCTCCTTTCTTTCTCTTTCTTTCTTTCCTTCCCCCTCCCTCCCTTCTTTCTTTCCCTTCCTTCTTTCTTTCCTTCCTTCTTCCTCCCTCCCTCCCTCCCTCCCTCCCTCCCTCCCTTCCTTCCTTCTTTCTTTTTTCTTTGATTTCGAGACAAGGTGTTTCTGTGTAGCTCTGTCTGTCCTGGAACTCGCTTTGTAGACCAAGCTGGCCTCTTACTCACAGAGATCCACCTGCCTCTGTCTCCTAAGTAGTGGGATTCAAGGCGTGCGCCACCACCACCTTCAGAGGCAATTCTTTCAGGCAAATCTCTCAATCTATCTCGCTGCTTCTCTGCCACACTCTGTAGCTGTGCTGGTATACATACACATGCACAGTTCCTGAGCATTTCAGACGTGAAGAGAGCCCACACCCAAATAGGGCCACATGCATGCACACATATACATAAAATAGAATTGTAATAAAATTTGAAAATGAGCAGAGACTGTCACCTCCGTGAAAGCAGGTGGGGTTGGCTACAAGCTGCAATATTATACAGTAATTCTCAGCCATCTTTTGATGAGTGATGTATCAGAGCCAGGGGCCCTGGAAAATGTTATGCCATAAATCAAGTAAAATTATTACTTTAATTATTATTATTAAGGTGTTATTGCTTTGGGGATAAAGTGGCTGTCTTTGGCTGTAGATTTTCACTGTAATTAACTTCCCCTTCTGTTAATGTTTGGGAATTAATTCCCACAGTTCAGAATTGTCTCCTGTTCTTTTGGGGCTGACTAATAACATCCCCCAGCTACGTGTGAGGACACTTTCTCATTGCTAGGCCTTTGTTTCTCTCTCCTAAGTAGATGCAGAGATCTGCCCTCCTACAACTATCTCTATCGCAGGCATTTGGTCAGTGTATAGGGTTCAGGCAAGAGCATTCCACTTAAAATATTCACAGATACCCAAGAACATAGAATTACCTGTTGTTCAAGCTCATGCCCTGGTTTTACCTCACTTAGAGAGAAGGAATATAATGGCCCCAAACTAAACTTCATTAACAGATTCCTAACTCCTTATGCTCACTTGCACCTCAGTTTACTGATGATTTTAGATCAGAAAATTTACTGCTGTGTTTTACTCTCAAGGACAGCAGCAGAGATAATTAACTGCAATTCAGAGAACAACTCACTTCCTGCTGGAGCCACAGACCCACTTTGCCCGCGATCAGAACGGATGGTAACAGCAAACCCCAGAAGTGATAATTCAGAGGCCAGGACCTCCTCTTTGTTTCTACCGCTTAGAGCTGTAAGTGTAAACTCCAGACCTAGGCACTTAGAAATTGTAGCATCTGGTGAGTGTGCTAAGCAGATCAGGAGCCATTAGCTTCCCCCTGACTGTTTATGTCAGCTGTGTCCTTACCCACTATCCTCTCTGTGCATGCTGGGAGAAAAAAAGTGGTGCGCCAATTTAAAAAACAATCTATGCCCTATTCCTAATTTTATGGAAAGCAAACCCTTTAACTCTTATATCTACCATCTAAAAATGCAGTGTAGTGCACTAACGTCCCCCTCTAGAATTCCCTGATGGCTTAATTCCTTTGCTAACTTTCTCGAGTTCATCGGACATGCAATAGCCTCACCCACCTTCGAGCTGACAATGACAGATCTCTCTCTCTCCCCCTCTTGCATGTGCTGTGTGTGTGTGTGTGTGTGTGTGTGTGTGTGTGTGTGTGTGTAAACTCTTATTTGATTTTTATGGGAAAGGAATTTGGTCATGGAACATGCTAGGGCTGGGGAATTGCTAGTTGTAAGAATATATAATGGTGGGAACCTTTGTAACAAGAGATTAAGAAAAAAGAAGAATAAGAAACATGGATAGAAAGAACTTGTTGTGAGTAGATTTCTTAGCCCTCACATTTCCAGCTCCCTTTGCTTGTTGTGGTGTCTTTAATTGAACCATAAGAGGGGTTTCTTAGAAGCTGGACTTTCAAGGACTCCATTAGGTGTGGGAGAGACAGGCCAGTTGCCTAGAAATATGTCCCACAGTATAGGGAAAACAGATTTGATTGTCAGGCCCAGCAGTCAAGGAACCATTCCATGCAAGGCACTGTTCCTATTTCCTTCTCCCATGACATGAGGACTGATAAGACAGGTCCCAGCTAAGCTCAGACCACCGAAGTCCCTGTCTTATCAGCCTAGATACTAACTGACATCCGAACACTTCAGTCTTTTGTTCAAAACACTCATATACCAAGGCTGTCCGGTGCCTTGGACCTACCTAGTGAGATGAGTATTTAGACTACAGTGTTTAAAGGGTGCCAAGCTCTCAAACTATGATCCCATGAAGGAACTCTTAAGGATATAGAAGAGGAAGGAGCTGCTCTGAGTAGAGATCCCAGGCTGAGTAGTCCCGTATAGCATGAAAACAGTGACCAGGGGTATTTTCAACACACAAATCTTTATTTCTTTCTTACAACAAGCCATGAATGTGCTCAACAGAGCCCTGAACACTATCTCTGCTTAACAAGGACGACAAAGAGAAAAGTTGGTACAGACCAAGGAGGCTTTCTCAGGTCAGAATGCTGCTAGAGAGGATTAAGACAAGGCTCAGGAGAAGGTTGAACTGCCCCAGACGCACAGCTCTTGCAATTACATCTTCCTCAACCACACGAGGGGGTAGCAAGTCCCTCTCTAGATTAGTAGGTCCTCCATCATTGCAAAAAATACCTGAGCAGCAATAGGAAAAGTAGAAGCTATTGGCGCTTGTAGGCCTTCTAAAGGTTGGTGGAGGCTGAACAAGCATAAACGTGCAGTTACCCATGCAGTATTTGTAGACTAAGAGCTGCCGAGAGTTCATACCTAGAAAGAAAGCCATCAGGAGAATCACCACCTTAGGATCTTCACTGTAAACCCAGCACCGCAGTCAAACATAACTAACTCCATCACCCTAATTAGAGACATTGTAGGCAGATGATTCTGTCCCACGAGTCAGTTCTCCAATAAATCACACAAAGAATTTTTATTCATTATGAAAGTTCAGCAGATAGTTTAGACTTGTTTCTAACTAGTTCTTAAAACTTAAATACCTGCATTTCTATTCATTTGCATTTTGTCACAGAGCACATGGCTTATTACCTCATATTCTACAAGTCATGCTTCCTCCTCTTCTGGCTGCGAATCCACCCTTCTTGTTCCCAGCATCCTCTTGGCCCTGAAAATCCTGCCCAGCTATTGGCCATTCAGCCTTTTTTTTTAAACCATCCGGAGAGACACTTCTTCACAGAGAACATAAAGATTGTTCCACTACAATACAGTCTCAAGAATGCTTGATAGAAAACATTGAAGTACACAGAGGGCCTGTTACTTCCTGTGATAATATTCATAATTACCTGACTATGTGTTGCTACCATCTTTACATCTGTCATGGTCCCTCCCCAGGTGACAATTTAGTCTCAGGACACACAGCTATGTAAATGAAATGTCCTGTTCACTTCTGGTTCAAATATTACCCTGGTTTAAAGAGTTACCAAAGGCTAGAATGAAACAGTGACAAGAAGCTATGTTCTTTGAGACTCCAAGAAGGAATAAGGGCACAAAGAGTGCCCACATTCACGACTCCAGAATGAACTCCTTCCCAACCCTCAACCTGGCTTTCCAAACATGGGAATCCATGTAAAAATTCAGGAGCCCTTGATGACATGTTCTCCAGCATGGATCAGATGGTCCATTCAAGCAAGGCTCCATAGAGAACAAGACCGCCATCACCAGGGACTCAACCACATAGAGTTGTGTGAAGTGAGCCCCACTGCCAACACCCTGCTGGAAGTCCTGGGCTGAAGGCTGGAGGCCTTGCTGCTGCTTGTTCCCTGGCAGTCTGCAGCCATGATGTAGGTCCTCCGCTGTGAAACTCACCCTGACTGCTTTAGTATCCACAGTCCTGAGACTTGTCTGCTGCCCGACATCAGAAGGACCTGGTGATCACAGGCCAAGTAGCCCCCTCCCCACATAAACTCTGTGTCAATCCATAGTTAAACTTCAGCTCTCTGTCAGGGATCTCTACTCATTTTTGATGAGTCCTCTCTTCCTGAGTCATCCAACACACAATATTTCCTCATTGCAGAGTGGGCTGCCTGTCTACTAGCTGCGTGGAAATTCCTTCCTGTCAAGAACATGGTAGTCCCTTCCCTCACTATAGTTCACAGGTTAATTGCACTGTGCTGGAGAAAGGACTCCACAGAGCTTCATTTATGAGGATCTTGTCAATGTTCAGCATCACACACTGCATTAATTTAATGAACCCATCCTTGCAGGAACCATAGAAAATGTGTGCATTTGGCCACTTCTGTGTTATTCTCATATGGTGATTTGTACCTGTTAAAGGTATTACCAGGTTGTCTGTTGTTGATATTGGCAAAGTAAACCCTAGTGGGCAAATCCAAGTATTCCCAAGTCTCAGGAGACAAACCACTACGGAAACACATCAGCAATGTATCATCAAGACCACTGCTGTCTGCTTTTTCCCAGGTAAAGTCTTCCATCCTCCCTGTAGACCCGTACTGACTTTAGCCTTTGTGCTGTGCAGTCTAGACACCATGGCAGGGATGCTTGAAGTGGGAACGTCAGAGCTGCCCGACTGCCTACATTTCAGAAATACTTCCCCTTTCCGTGCACATTCCCCAGTCCAGAGGATGATTTCATCTTGTGTTGTGGGATGTACAGACCTGGAGATTGCTACATCTTCTTTGCAATCTATCCTTTCTTCTCCACAAAAGATCACTGCTTCCGTAAGTAATATTTATTTTGCCTGCTGTGTACCCTGATCCAGCTGTAGCATTTCCATATTCGATGGCAGACATCACCTTGAGGAAGTGGGCACCTATTGCTTGAACCTGGCTAGCTGGGGTGTGTGGTAGTGTGAATGAGAATGGCCTCCCTAGACTCCTATGTTTGAATACTTACTTGGTAGCCAGTTTGTATTATCTTTTGGAAAGGACTAGAACATGTGGCCATATTGGAGGTGTGTCATTTGGGCATGGCAGGCTTTGGGATTTCCTAACACTAGCACCTTCGACTATTAGCTCTCTCTGTCTCCTGCTTGCAGATCCAGCTGTGAGCTCTCAGCTGTCCCTGCCACCATGCCTTTCTTCCACCATTAAAGACTCCCACCCTCTGAAGTCATAAACCCAATCAAATGCCTTATTTTGGAAGCTGTTTTGCTCAGGCTGTTTTACCAGAGCAATAGAAAAGTAACCACTACTGGATGTGAATGCACAGGGTCAGAAACTAAACAAGCCAGCAATGATTCACAAAAGTTGAACCAGGGTGTCTGCCCCTATGAATAGAGAGCCTGGGGACAAAGGCCTGGAGTGGCCACAGCAGTCTCATTCCCTGGATACTCAGGGTGTTTAGACTGTCAGCCTACTGTCCACCATAGGCTCTGGGCCCCTGAGCAGAACACGCACATTACCCTATGAGTGGGCCGAACCCAGTGCCTGTGAACAGGCTCTCAGTTCAAGGAGCTGCCTGAAGAGCTCCGGATCTGGCTGCAGAGACAACAGACTGACCCTGACCCCCAAGTTTGTGTAGGGAGGATTATTTACTCTGTGACCAGAATACAGATACTTACGCATGGCAATTGTCCCACAGCGTCTAAAATTGTCAGGACAATCAGTTTCTGCAGGGCAGTGGAAGGTGTTTTCCACAGAGCAATGATAGCACCTCATAACCATATCTGAAGGAGGAAAAAACCACAGTTGGGTAGGTGTTTCCCCAAGAAGCCTTTCCACCATCCTACTCCCATCCTCCCTCCTCCCACAGCTGCTTCCCAGTGCACTTCTCCACACAAGCCACACCAAGGCCTGCAGAACTCAGAACTTGGCCTAGTCTAAGGTAGAGACAGACCAGCTCCAGGATAGGAGTGGTCCCTTCAAGAATCTTTTCTTTTAATAAAAGGCTGCTCACATGTCAAACAGCTGAGTTCTTCAAAGCTGTCCGCCCCTCTATGGAACAGTGGCCTCCCAGGACACCACAATCCTCCAGGACTTCTCTGGACCCAGTACCTGCTCTCCCTGCTGGGACGTGCTATGGACACTTGCTCCCTTGGCTTTCCTGGTCAGCAGCTCTCTGTGGGATCCTTCAGTCTACTCAACCCTATTGAATCTCAAGAGTACCACTCTAATCATGCTTACATATTAAAACCAGGTCAGTATATGATGAAATAAACTTTATTATGAGGCAAAAAAAAATCTAACTAATTTCCCTCTTTGTTTTTGCTGTGAGAAATGGAAAAGGGTCACGGTGACCTCATGATCCATGTCTAGTAACCAGAGCTGCCTGGTGTAGACACTAATGCCCTTTTGTTTTAATTTTTGTTTTGTTCTTCTGAGGCAGGGCTTCTCTGTGTAGTCATGACTGTCCTGAATCTCTCTCTGTGGATCATGCTGGCTTTGAACTTGCTTCTGCCTCCTGAGTGCTGGGATGAAAGGTGTCTACCA